ACACAGACATCCTGGATCTATAATTTCAATTGACACCTTGACATTCTCTTATCTTATTGTATTTACAACTTATCCCATTAGGAAATTCCTTTCTCACATTATGGTTAAACACATATGGAGACTATAATTTTGGGGTGACACACGCATCCTGAGCTGGGATTGCTCTAAGTGTATAAAGGGTCTCCTTCAGCTTGTTTACCTCTGAGTTCAGAATTATTTTCTGACTCCATCATGCATGATTCCCTGGCTTAATGAGAATAAATAAGCACATTATAGCATATGTACAGCTTGATTCCGTTTGCTCCTTGTTCAAACCCTTGGTAAGGTGAAACCCTTTGTTTGTTCTTGAACAAGCCTTCAGTTAAGGGGGCTCCCATTCTGTTTGTTCTGAGGGCAAACCTTTGGTTAAGGGGAAAACTGATTCTGTTTGTTTCTTTGGACCAAACCTTTGGCAAATGGTTGACAAAAGTTACAAAAATGGCTGTTTGTTTCCACATACTTTTCGAGCTTCTTGTATGCATTTTCCTGTATTTTGTTGCTGTTGTTATTGTTGCAAACAGAGTTGTAGTCAGTGTATACATTGTCATTCTTATTCCACATTCTCATTCCTCTCCTCAGAGGAGAAACTACACTTAAAGTGTTTGTGTGCTTTTTGGAGGTAGAACAAGCTTTGCAAAAACCAACAAAAACAGTCATTCAGATAAACAAACACAAGAATGCAAGCTTCTTGAGGACAGGAATTGTATTCTCTATTTGTCTTTAGAATTTTGTGTGTGTGTGCTTTGCACAGTGGGTGCTTCATCAGTAATTGAACTGAATAAATAAGAAAAATAAAACATTACATATGGAATGCCAAACTTCTATAATTTATAGCTTTTTTTGGTGTTTTTTTTGTGTGTACTAACTTTAACAAGATGGTAACATAAGAAAAACATAAATCAAGATAATCCTGAGGTTTCATCTCATACCATGCAGATTAGCAAAGATGATAAAAATGTGAATAGTTAATATTTGAGAGGTTGTGGGGAAAATAGGTACACATGCGTTGTTAGTTGACTTGTGAATTAATACAACCACAGTGGAAAACAGTTTGGAATTAAGCAAATAAAGTGACCAAAATTCCAATATCCTTTGACCCAGAGATTTTACTACTGAGCTTATACAAAAAGGAAGTCATTGATTAAAAAAAAAAAAAAGTCCTCACATACACCAAAATATTTATAACAGAACTTCGTGTGAGCACAAAGAAATGGAAACAAATTGGAAACAAAAAAACCTATCAACTAGAGAATGGTCAAATAAATTGTGGTACATGAATGGAATGGAATATTACTATACTGAAAAAAATTATTCATGTGATGAATATGGAGAAGCTGGGAAAGATCGACGTGAACTGATGCAAAGTAAGGTAAGCAGAACCAAGAAAACAACGTGCACAATGACTACACAATGTAAATGGAAAGAATGACTCACAAAAAAAAAATCAAAAGCGAATAATATCACAAAATTATAAAGAACAAGAATGGTTCCAAAAAAAGTTACAAGAAGACATTAACATCCCATCCTTTTGCAGAGGTGTGAAGTCTACAAATATTGTTCATCGAACATAGTTTCAGACCTTTTTGACATATCGATCAATTATGCTGATTTTTTTTCCCTCTTCTCTTTTTGTCTTTAAAAAAAATAGTATTTGTTATATGGGATGTTTCTCTGGGATTGAGATGGGGAAGTATACTTGGGGAAACTATGGTAATATAAAAAAATCTAAAGCCATCAATAATAATTATTTTTATAAAGAAATACATTAATATTTTAAAATTTAAAAACCCTTTTAGACATTTTCTTTTTTGTTTGTAGCTTTAATATTGCACTAAGATTTTGGGACACCCTATATACATCTTAATACACACTGAAGTATGGGCCCAATGCCAGCACCCTATTAACTCAGGCTCAACACTGGTAAGAAATAAAGCCCTCATAGTTTATTGAACAGTTGATAAAAGGTTTACTTAGCCCTATCACAACAAGGACATACAACAAGGCTGCAATGGCATTTAGTTTCTATAGACCTGAACCACCTCTTCTCTATATAGCATGACACTTGTTCTACTATGTAGAATGTGGGGGCAGCTAGGTGGTGAAGTGGATAGAGAACCGGTCCTGAAGTCTGGAGGACCTGAGTTTAAATCTGGCCTCAGACCAAGCACTTGACGAGTACTAGCTGTGTGACCTTGGGCAAGTCACTTAAACCCAATTGCCTACCAAAAACAAAAACAAAAAAAAAAAACAAAAAAATACTATGCAGAATGTGGCGACTAAAATGATCCTCTAGCATTAATCACAACAGAAGGACCCTAACCCCACCTGGGTAGGAACCTTTTATGCTCCAAGTAACTAGGAAGCCACTTCAACACAGCCAGAAGTCACCAGGAAAACAGGAAAGTGCAGTTAGAACCTTGCCCCACCCCTAGGCTATTCACGTGATGGTCAGAAGAAACAATACAAGGATACTATCAAGGTCTCTCTTAAGTACTCTGGAATTTATTGCATGACATGGGAGAAAGTGGCACAGGAGCACCCAGCATGGCGTACCCTCATCAGAGAAAGTGCTGTGCTCTACGAGCAAAGCAGAATTGAAGTGGCTCAAAAGAAACTTGAGATGCAAAAATTTAGAGAATCTGCCCCAAATGTTCAACATGATCTATTCGTGCCCAGCAAGGAGCAGAACATTTTGAGCTTGTATTGGTCTGATCAGCCACAATCAGACACGCGGTAACTTGACTCTAGCATGGTGATGTCATTTTGGTCCTCTTCAAAAACTAAGGACAACAAACAAACAAACACTTACAAACACAAAGTAATATGTCTGAGTCTTCCAGCCAACTGATGATTGCTGTTTGCCTTCTCCACCTGCATCCAATGACCCAAATCTTTATAATCCTATCCAATCAATTAAGGCCAGTCAGTCAATAAATGTTTATTTGGTGCTATGTACTGGGGCTTATTAATATATTTGTAGGAAAATTCCTTAATACCTACTACTCTGTTGATTCATTCAACTGAACTTCAATTCAATAAGTATTTATTAAGAAACCTACTATGTGCCAGGCACTACACTAAAAGCTGGAGATACAAATAAGAAAAACAGTCCATGCCCTTAAGGGAAGACAACACACAGAATTAAGCAAAAAAAGGGAAGGGGGAAGGGGGAAGGGTTTGGACCATAGCTAGAGGCATAACGTTCAGTGGAATGGCAACTATGCAAAGTCAATGAAGTAAAATGGGGTTACCTGCAAAGTTTTGAGCCCTGTGTGAGAAAAGACATTGGGAGGAATTGTGTCACTCTCTAACCCTCCAATCATACGGTAGCTGGGGAAGTTGGGAAGTTGCTGAGTATCAGCAACTGTCTGGGTCTTCTGTGATTACTAAGTTGGGTTGGGGTAGAATCTCTTCTCTCCTACCCTAAACATACAAGTGGACAGACGCACACAGAGACACACACATATTGATGGTATCTGAAAAATTTTGTTACAATCACTTATCAACAAACTTTTAAATTGCAATGTACAGAGATATCTGTGGACAAAAGCACATTATATTTTTTCTGTGGGGCTTCCTTTACACACAAAAAAAGCAACAAAATCAAAGCAAATTCTTACTCCATTCTGATTGACTACGCTAACAAGTACAGTAATACATGGGGGGAAAGGAAGGGAGGAAGCACAGCTAAGAAACACCTGCTTTTAAAAGACACAAAAGATATGAGACAATTAACTGGAGTTATATGCAAGTACATGCAAGTGATTGTAGCAGAGAAATTATCTATGGGAAAAAGATACACTCAGTACTGTTATTCCTACAAATATTTGTTGTTGTTGTTCAGTCATTTCAGTCATGACCAACTTTTCGTGCCCCATTTGAGGTTTTCTCTGCAAAGATACTGGAATGTTTTACCATTTCCTTTTCCAACTCATTTTACAAATGAGGAAACTCAGGCAAACAAGGTTAAATGCCTTTAGGGTCACACAACTAGTAAGTGTCTGAGGCCTGATTTGAACTCAGAAAGATGGGTTTTCTGGACTCCCAACCCTTTGCTCTATCCACTGCACCACTTAGCCTAAATGCCCTTTTTATAGATATACATTATTATATATTTCTTTTATTCAGCAAACTACTGCAGTCGAGCAATTAATTACCTATAACCAAGATGAAGTAACTTAGTTTAAAGTTAAACTATTATCTAAAACGTATGTGTCTGTAGACACACACGGATAAACATACATATATCATCTAGACATATACAAGGGCACATATATGCACAAATATACAGGCAAACGTCTAGCAAAAAACTCTTCTCAGCCTTCCGAAATTGCTCCCAATTTATCCTATCCACACCTCTTTTGTATATCGTTTTTCTGTAGTCTCCCCCATTAATACGTGATCTCCTGGAGAGTTGCAACTGTCTTTTTCCTTTCTTTGTATCCCCAGCGCTTAGCACAGTAGGTACTCCATAGAAGGAGCTTAATAAATGCTGGCTGATTGATTAATACACATACACATAACCGCAAGCCCCTAAAAAGCCTAGAGTTGGAACTCTGCCCACCAATCATGGATCAGTGCAAGACTCTGACGCATGCGCAATCTTCGTCTTAACCAAGACTTCGAAGGGCCCAAGAAAAGCCCAGGCCTGAACTACGATACCCAGGTAGCTCCAAGACGCTCGATTATTATTGGATGAACCCAATACCTCCAGGACTACGTCAGACAACCGACATGAGGGAGGCGTTCTCTAATCTCCCCTTTAGGACGCCAGGTGGCGCCATGCTTTCAGTCCATTACAGCTGAAGGTCGGATCTAAAGAGCACCCACTCCTCGTCCCCGCCCCCTGACGCACGCAGCACGTACGTTCCGCACCGCTAACCTATTCAGTAAATAGGTGCGGTCCGACCCTCCACCCACCACTGCCACCAAAGCGGACGCATAAACGCATGCGCAGACACGTACACCACATCGCCGCGACCATTACGCATGTGCAGTTACAGTCAATTTGGATTCGGGCCAGAGCCTGTGTGCGCATTCCAATTCCTGGCGCAGTTCCGGTTCCGGGTGGCGAAGGGAGTAACTGGCCATGCGGCTCTCTGTTGTCGCTGCCATTTCTCACGGGCGAGTGTATCGCCGCCTGGGCCTGGGCCCCGAATCCCGCATCCATCTACTGCGCAACCTATTGACGGGACTAGTGCGCCATGAGCGTATCGAGGCTCCCTGGGCGCGCGTCGACGAGATGCGCGGCTATGCTGAGCGGGTGAGGGCAAAGGGCAGATTGGCCTAAGGGGAGGGGGTGGGATTTCCGGGAGCGGATAGTCCTAGGGGCGGGACCGGGGCGGAAGCGGGGGGAGTGGGAGGGGGACAGGAGGGTACACGTGGCGGGAGGAGGAGCCAGAGAGGTGCTTTCTGTCCCTTGCCGCTGACTCCGCCCATTTCCTCCCAGCTCATTGACTACGGGAAGCTGGGCGACACCAATGAGAAGGCTATGCGGATGGCTGACTTCTGGCTAACGGTGAGTGCGCATGTACGCATGCGCGCGAGGCCAAAGATGAAATGTGACTTTGGGTAGCCCTGTTCCGTTTACGTTGACTTCGATGTCACCCAGAGTCTCTTATTCTTTTCCCATGCACTGCTAAGCCAGGTCTTGCCCCCCTCCGTACTTGTGTGGTTGATAATTTAACCATAACTGAAGAACTTTACAATTATCTGTATTTACTTTTTTTTAAGATTCTTTTTTTAGATTGTTTACATCGTTGGCATCTTTTAGAGACTTTTTTTGGATCCTCGTTCTGTCTCCCAGCATATTAGCCATTCTTTCCAACTTTGTATCATCCACAAATTTTCAAACATGCTTTTTGTTTTCCTTATTCAAGGTAATAAAAATATTGAATAGGAGAGATGTGATGACAGAACCCTCCAGCATGTTACTGTGATCCCTCACTGTGACATGAAATCCATTATTCAAGATTTTTTATCTGTACCGTTTAGTCAGTTATGAAAATCCTACCTGAATACTGTTCATTGTGGATGTTTATAGAATAAACATAAGGACATTAAGATTGACTACTGTCAGCATTTAGGGACAATACCTTTAAAAACAGTATTTATTGTATCTAGCAACTGCCTAGAGTATATTTGCTTGATAGAGAATATTTCTGGCAACCAGGTGTCCTAATTTGACCCACAAATTTTGGGGTTTAAATAAACTTGCAAGCAGCTTTTCTAGAATTCTAAGCAATTATTTCAGACTACAAAGCTTACATTAAGGTTACAAATCAACAAATGTTCTCAAGCAGAAAGGGAAAATAGGTGAAAGATACATTTTGTGATATAAGTTCATGATTGTCAACAACATAGTTTCAAGGACTGCAGGATGAATCAAGTATATTTCAAAGATTCAAAAAATAGTAAAGTATGAAAAAAGCTCAATTATGTATCTTGTCATATAATAAAAATTGTTAGTGTCTTTTGATACTATCTATTTGCTGCCAGTCTGGGCAAGTAGGCAGTTAATCTTGATCAGTAACCAGTGGCCCAAACTAGAGTACTTATCAGTTCAGCTAAGTAATAAAACTTTTCTTAAACTTCGATTTACTCTAAGTTTGAGATACTAAAATTTTGCTTCTACACTGCAGTTTTGTGCCTCTAGCCCAACAAAAAGTCTAATGCTTTTCTGAAAGTTAGGTGCACAGTGTCAACAGGATTTCTTTGTTCTATCAGTCTAGTACTATGTCAAGAAAGGAAATGCAGTATTAATATGCAATTAGAATCAAGACAGTGATGGAAAGAAATAGAGGAAATATGGTTAAATGACTCTGTTTTTATAGTAGATTCATACATTCACTATAAGGGGGACAAAAGGCTTTCCACTTAAGAGATTGTTTACTAGCAAATGCCGCCTACTCACTGTGAACTCCAATTAGTAAAGATGTTACCATGATTCAAGAATTCTTTCTCTTTATATTTATTAAGAGCATTACCAAAAAATGGATTATAAAAACATGCCGTATTACTGGGTTTGATTTCATGGGACAGTGGAAAAAGTACTGAATTTGGAACCGGAAGACCTGTGATTAAAACCCACCCGTACTGTTTTTTACCAATATAAACTTGGGCAAATCAGTACCTCTGGGCTTTAGTTTTGTTTGTTTGTTTGTTTGTTTGTAAAATAAGGGGCCTGTACTAGATGACCTCCAAGGTCCCTTCCACCTCTAAATTTATGATCCTTGATTCAAGGCTCCTGTAGGTCCAATGATACTAAAACAGACTTGAATATCATTTTTTTATAGAAATAAACCTACAATAAGAGTCAAATTTTTGCAATACTAAGCATAGGAATAGAAGAGTATAGAAAGAAGTTGAAAACATCTTTCAAAAAACTTCTAATTGATTATGTTATGAAAAACATTCTAATATTGGTCAATATGAAAGGATACAAGTGTAAAGAAATAGTCAACCGCTGTCAGAGTAAGGATGTACATGTGAACCTTGAATTCCAGTGGGTATTCCAATTGAATACTCTCAGGGTTAAATTTTATTTTAATCCACTTTTGTGGGTGTGCAAGGCAGAAATACCCACCAGAGAGAGGTAAATATGGGTCTGGAGCTCAGTGTCAGGATAGATTGGGCAGGGGAGGGGAGGGGAGGCTTTTTCAAAAGGTACTCATTGGGAATAGATGAGATCACCAAGACAAGACTACCAAGGACAATGTTTTAGGAAGTACCCACACCTAATAGGCAAAATAGAATGAGGGAGCAACCAGGGAGACAAAAAAAGAAACATCAGAGATAAAAGAATTAGAAAGAACTGGTGTCTCAGAAGGCTGGGGAAGATCGTTATTTAAGAGGAAGTTTTGATAAAAAGTATGAACAGCTACAGTGAAGTAAAAGAGGACTCCTTTAGATTGATTAAAAGTCTTGGGGGGGAGGGGAGAGGGGGAAGGGGAATGGAATAAGCAGTTATAAAGTGCCTGCCGTGTGCCACTATGCTAAGCACTTTTTACAAATAATATTTCATGTGATCTTCACAACAACACAGGGAGGTGGGTGCTATTATTCCCATTTTATAGTTGATGAAACTGAGGTGAACATTAAGTGATTTGCTTAAGGTCACATAGCTAATAAATGCCTTATGACCGATTTGAATCCAGATCTTCTTGATCTCTTTCCATCACTATTCACTGCTGCCTCTAGGTTATTGTTGACCTTTGAGAGAACAGTTTCCATGTGGTTTTAAAGAACAAAAGGAGATGGCTGAGAGTTAGAGGAGCTGTAGAGGACTGTAGGGTAGGCCACCCTTTGTAACAGGTTAGCAGAGAAAAGAAGAAGAAAGATAGAAAAATACTTTGATAAAATGTCAGGCTAAAGAGAAGAGATTCTTAAAATAGAAGAAACTTTGAGGCTATTTATGGGTTGAGGAGAAGGAACAAGTGAAAAAATGGACTCCAGTTTTTCCATGCTCCTGAAAAAGATGTGAAGGGCATAGTTAGAAGGCTTAGCTTTCTCAAGGGAGGAAACAGTTTTGTCTTCTGTGACCAGAGTGAAGAGAGACAGAGTGGCAGAAGAAACAAACTTTGAGATGTGGAATCAATCAACAAGTATCTATTAAGCACTTCCTCTGTTCCAGTCACTGTGCTAGGTGCTGAGGATAAAGAGGTAAAAATGACATTGTCCTTGTATTCAAGGAGGTTGCATGCTATCAAGAAATAAGTCTAAACATATATACAAAATAAACACAAGGTCATTGAAGAGGAAGGCATGAGCAGCTGGGAATATAAGAGAAGGCTTCATGTTGAAGGTGACATTTGAGCTAAACTTTGAAGGAAACAAGGAATCTGAAGAGACAGAGATTCAGAGGTAGCTTCCTTCAGCAATTAGGCACAGCCTCTGAAAAAGAATAGAAGTGTGAAATAGAGCATCCTGTGTGTGGAACAGTAAGAAAGCCCATTTGGCTGAGCCATACATTCTAGGAAGGGGTGTAATATGGCTATAAAGCTGGAAGGTAGTTGGAACAAAAGAGTGAAGGGCTTTAAATGCCAAATCAAGGATTCATATTCCACCCTAGAGATAATGAGGAACTAATGGAGTTTATTGAATAAGGGAAAAACATGTTCATACACTTTGGGAAGATTACTTTCACCGATGAATGGAGGATAGATTTGAGATGGGTAAGACTTGAGGCAGGGTAACCAATTAGGAGGTTATTGCAGTAGTCCCAGTGAGAGGTGATGATGGCCATGTGAGTAAGGGGAAGGGAACATATGTGAGAGATGTTGTGGAGGTAGAATCACAGAACTTGGTAACAGATTGGATTTGTGATGTAAGTGAAAGTGAGAGGTAACTAGAAAGTGCCTGCCGAAGAGACAGAGTCACTCAGAAAAGGAGTGGGTTCAGGGGAGAAAGATGCCATGTGATCTTCACAACAACACAGGGAGGTGGGTGCGATTATTCCCGTTTTATAGTTGATGAAATTGAGGTGAACATTAAGTGATTTGCTTAAGGTCACATAGTTATGTGTTATGTTTTGATGACATAAGTTATGTTTTGTTATGTTTTGAATATTGAGTTTAAGATGCCTACAACACATCTATTTCAAAATGCCCAATAAGCAGTTGATAGTGTGAGACTGGTGGAGCTGAAAAGGACTTTATAGACACCTTCACTTAGCGCAACCTCCTCATTTTACAAGTGGGGAGACTGAGGCCCAGAGAGATGAAATTTTTATCCTGTGGTCATACAGACAGTAAATAGTAGATGCAAAGAACAGTCATCTAAGAGATAGGTAAGAATGCAAAGTTGGTAGCTTAAAACAAAGAACAGGTGGGGTGGGAGGCCTATAGAGATTCTCAGAGTCAGGAGGCAGTGCAGAGGCTTATATCTGCATAAAAATCCTTTCTATATCATCCAGGAAAAGTCATATAGCCTACACTTGATCTCTAGGAAGCCTAAAGTTGTTTCTCTGAAACTTTCCCTCCTTGTTCCTAGTTCTTCTCTTTGGGGCCAACCAGAACAAGTCTAATGGTACTTCAACTTGACAAACTTGAGGAGCATTATCACGTTCCCCCTGACCGACTCTTTTCTAGAATCTAAACATCCTCTGTCCCTTCAGTTGATTGATATATGTTTTGATCCAGCTGTGTTGATTGAGTAATTTCTTATACATCCTCATCAGTCTCTTTAAACAGCTCCCTTTTTCCTCCTCATCAGAATATGTTCTAGAATCCTCTCATCATCCTTGTTGCTGTCCTGTCTGTGCCTCAGGCTTCTCAATATTTCTTTTAAAATGTAGCATCCAGAACCACACATAATTCTCTAGATTCAGTTTGACCAGGGCAGAGTACAATAGTGCTTCATTTAGCATACTTTGTCTCTCATAATGTAATGATAGCATCAGTGTTTTTGACTTCTGATGGCACATTTAACTCTTATTGATCTTTCAGTCCACTAAAACTCCTATTATTTTTCACACAAAATGTTAATCTAGCCATGCTTTTATATCATCGTATACTTGTAAAGATGATTTTTTAACTGAAAAGTAGGATTTTACATTTATTTCTGTGAAATTTCATCTTAATAAATCTGGCCCATCATTGTAATCTATTGAGATATTTTTGGACCCTTACTCAGTTATCCAGCATTTTTAGCTTTTCTAGCCTTGTGTCATCTGCAAATTTGATGAGTATGGCATTATCTGAGTCACTTTTAAAAAGTACAAAGTCAAAAGCAGATCCTTAGGATGCTCTGGTAGAGACCTCCCTCCAAATTCATAGCAAATCATTAATCACTACTCCTGGTCTACAATAAGAAAGTGTCAGATGCTTTGCTGAGTTATAGGTATGTTATGTCTAAAAAGTTCCCCTAATCTACCAATCTGTTAGCTTTGTTGTTCCCCTCCCCCCACCAAAAAAAAGATTTGTCAGCCAAGATCTCTTAAAGAACCCTTTCAGTGATCACCATTTCACTTTAAAAATCATCCCTTTAATATATCCTATAATTTTGCCAGGAATTAAAGCCATCTCACTATAGTTTTCAGACAGCCTTTCCATTTTGAAAATTAGGACACATTTTCTCTTCTCTAATTCTATGACACATCTCCAATTCATTTTTTGAAAGATCAGTGAAAGCAGTTTAGAAATTACAGTTGCAGTTTTTGGGTATAAGTATATTCCAGTCACAAGTTCTATTCTATCCAGTGTCAATGATACTTATGAGGTAATAATGTTCCTCTTTGTCTTAGGAACTCTAGTGTGCCTCCTTTATTACTCATACTTTGTGCATTTGTATACAGACATATGAGGACATGTTTCAGTCTCTTAGATATTTTTCCTGTGAATTACTGGTTCTCTACTGTTTATCAGCCTTTGCTGCATCTCTCTGTTGTCTGAGAGATTATTTGCTCCCTCCCTTTGCTTTTCCACTTGAAAGCCCTTTTAATCAGATTTGCAAACCCCCTGCCATACGTATTTTTACCAGCCTTCAGGATATATATTTCATCCTTGACCATCATTACTTCCTCCAAACCATGGTCTAGAAAGCCAAATCCCATTCTCAGATACCATCTTCTTAACCAGCTGATCACATCTCATATCTGCCTTTCTCTTCTGTAGCCCCCACCTTCAGTCAGCAACAGTGATTAAAAACACCACCCATGCCTCTACAATCTTCAGTTTCTTTCCCAGAACTTCATAATCCCTAGCAATGATTTATCAGTTCCTTCTGGTAGTATCATTTGTCCCTACATGATTTACCCAGAGTAGGTAATGATTATCAATCTTGACACAAGGTCATTTTTAAAGATTTAAAGAGAAAAATTCTTATAAAAGCCCAAAACACAAATATATATCAGCAAAAAGGGTGTTAAAAAAGAATGTAGTAAATTCTCCTCGAGAAAACAAAGCTCTCTTAAATAGTAGAGGACAATGGAAAGTGAGCCAGTGCTTGATGAAATATAGAAACTATAGACTTTCCCAAGAGAGCATGGAACAATAACTCTATGGTTAAAAAAATAAATTCCATAAAAGAATAAATTAGGAATGAACATGGGTTGGAATGTAGACCTCAGTTTTCATTAGATTCCCTCAGGATAGAATTTAAAACTCAAATAATTTTAGAAAAAATTGAATCCACAGTGGAGAATCTCTAAAGAAGTGAGAGACTAACAAGCTCAAAGTACAAAAGTTACTGAAGTGGAGGAAAATCTGGTAGAAGAGAAGCAAGAGGCAATAGGTTAAAAGAACATGAATTCTGTGTAAGCCAAAGCCACTGACCTTGAAGAAAGGATATGCAGGCAAAAACAACTTAAAAATCACAGGTCTCCCTGTCAAAATCAAAATTAAAAAATCAGAATACCATAACATAGGAAATAGTATAAGAAGACACATCTCTGAAGACTCTGTCCAATTCATCTATGTACCCAGAACAAACAAGACCTCTCCATCATCTGTATTGGATTGGCAGATTACCAGCTGGGAGTCACCACTGTTGGTTCCTTCTTTCTCTGCTTGGTGGGTGGTACCTATGGATCTACAGCATCATTCCTTGAAACTGAAGAACCTGAGCTACCCTGAGAAAGTCTTGCTACCTCATCTACAGGCAGAGTCTTATACCTGTTACTTAATTCCAGGAATTTAGTAGTCCTCTTCCTTCAGTGTCACATTATTCTGCCATTCTGATGTGTGATAGGGTTCTCCTTTGCTTCTTCAGCTTCTTTTTCTTCTTCTACTTATTCCAAGAATGTGATCTTCTGCCTCATAGCCTGAAGAGTAGAAAGGCCTTCCTCCAGTCCTTTTACCTCCTCTAGGGGAAAATTAATCTACACTTTGTTTATATGTAGCTGTTACTTGGGAGTGTCAGAAACACAAATATAGCTGCCCCTGCCGTCTCAGCAAAGTTTCCCTCGTACTCCATATTTACTGGAAGCAAAATCCTCAGTCCCCTGCTATTCTTGCTTGTAGCTCTTGTGGCTAAATCTTAGGCCAGTCTGCTATGGGAAACTGTTCCAGTTCCTGTTTGCTTCTCTAGTGGCTCCATATTGAGGCTTTCTCATGCTTCCCACCTTTTCTCAAGATATGATGCTTGTGAAGTTCTGATAGAGTAGACATAATTCCTACTCCTTAGAGTTGTAAGAATCAAAAGAGATGATGTATGTAAGAGCTCTTTGCAAACCTTAAAGACCTATGTAAATGTCATAATTATATCTTTGGTAGACTTGATATTTCTCCTTGTTATTCCCCTGGCTATTTGAAAGAGATGATTACAATCACTGAGAGGGACTGTGATATAGTGGAAAGAATACTGATCTTAGAATGGGAAGTCAAATCAGAGGCCTGGCTCAGACATTGTGTAACTGTGTGACCCAAGACGAATTTCTCAGCCTCTCTGAGCCCAATTTTCTAGTCTATAATGTAAGATGAGTAAGACATACTACATACTTCTCAGTATAATGTAAAGCAAGCAGTTTAGAAGTCTGTTACATTAAATTCAGCAAACATCGAAGGCACTTGGCTATATAAACATAAATCTTAGCTCTGCTACTTATTAGCCATGTGGACTTCGGCAAGTCATTTTGCCTCTGCGTCTGTTTCCTTATCTGTAAAAGAGCCCCTTAGAGTTGATGTCTACTGTTCCCTCTAAATCCTCCAATATTCCTCTGTGTGTGTGTGTGTCTGTCTGTCTGAGACAGCCAGACACTGAGAGTTTACCTATACCCTTTTATTGGGTAAAGGTGCTCTTGTCACTCGGGCACAGGGACTCCTCATGATATGTTTCTGTGATTCAAACTATCTTCTGCCTCTTTCCCTCACTTCCATCCCACAGGAAAAGGACCTGATCCCAAAGCTGTTCCAGACACTGGCCCCTCGCTTCAGCAATCAAACTGGGGACTATACAAGGATGTTTCAGATTCCAAACCGTGAAAACCTGGACCGGGCCAAGATGGCAGTGATTGAATACAAAGGGAACCCCCTCCCTCCGTTGGTGCTGCCACGTCGGGACAACAATCGCACACTCCTCAATCAGCTACTTGTGGGCCTTCGCCAGGACCTGGAACAGAGGCCCCCAGCTTCTACTGCATAAAGCCCCAAAGGGTGTAGTTCAGAGCAGCACAGCCCAGAAGACTGAGTTTTTGTTGGGGTTTTCCAGCCTGGTAGTTTGTGAGGGCAAACAACCTGTATCACCTTCCTCTCTCTGGCTTCCCTGGAACTTCAGGGTCACTGTCTTCCCTTGTTACTAGGGAACCTCAGGCTAAGCCACACTGTGGGCACAGGAACAGAGCAAGAGATAAATGTGCATATGTGGGGCAGGCTATTGTCCCTGGAGTCATTCTGTTTTGCCTTCCTGAGGAAGGAAGGATAAACTGAGAGGCTTCAGTTTGTACAATAGATAGTTCCTATACATTTGTTGTGTATAGCTTGAATGCTGTTTTTGTCCATTTCTCTTTCTGACCTCTAAGGTGAGACTATTCTCTCTGGAAGGCCTGGCTCTGAACAGGGACTCCCTTGAGTCTCCTGCCTAATCCGGAAGCTTCAGAGGACATTACAGCCATCCTTCTGTGTCCAGGCAGGGACACAAGGAACTTCTACCCCAACTGTCTGTGGTACCCTTGAGTAGGCTAAGCTTATTCTCTGTTCCCTGCGTCTCCTCTTCTCCCCCCACTTACACCCATCAGCCGTAGGGATTATTGTTAGACTCCAAGACTTCGAAGACTTTGCAGGATTGGGATGAAGAAGATGCATACAAAGCTGGGGAGGACCATCCGAGTGCTCCCCCCCATCATACATATGGGCTAACCTGTATGAATGGGTGTGATGAGGGGGAATCCCAAAACCGGTTTCAGTAAGGTCAGCCTAGGGTGGGAATCAGGATGTAGATCCTGCTGGGAATTTCCTGGAAATATTTCCCATGTACTGACTTTCAGTCTACTTTCTGGGGAGGGAGGAAATCCGGCTGTGCAAGCAATGAGGCTCATTCATATGGGCAGCCTTAGAGCTTTAGGTGCCACAGAACTAAAGGAAATCCGAAGTCAACACCCTTTTCTCCACCCCTAAATACACATCCCACAAAGCCCCACAACTGTCACAAGATTAGCACACATGTAAGATTTAAATGTAGATAATTACCTTCTGGAAACTAAGTGGAAATAGGGATAGAGTCCTCTGACTCTGGTTACTCTCTGGAGGGATAGGAAGAAGGGTGATAAACTGACAGCTAAAACAAGGTTCTCAGTCCTGGTCACTTTGGGATAATGAGAAATGCTAGTCTTAGGTACTTTTAAGAATGATGTTTTAAGGGAATCCTGACCTTGGCTCATTCTGCAGTAAAATGATGAGGAAATACTAGCCCTGGCTGATTCCTTGGATGGCGATTCAAAATAGGGTAACCCTAAGGGAGAATTTGTGGAGAAGTCTTCGCCCAGGTCTCAGGAACAAAGATAGGGGTGCTGGTCAGTCCTGAATCTGGTCATTTCCTTACAGAGTAATGGAAAAATCCTAGTAGTAGGTTTTGTCTGTAGGATAATGTTGGGGACAATCACTACCCAGAATCCTATGGGGAGTCCTAAACCTGGCCATTTCTGGATATAGTTAAAAATTCTGGTGCTGGTTACCTGCTGTGAAAATAATGGGGAAACTTGATCTCAGTGTAAACTGGCCCTGGTCATTTTTGGACATGATGATGAGGAATCTAGGCCTTGGTTATTCTGGAAAAGTTAAAATCCTCATCCTTAATCAGTTTTGATTGATGGATCAATCTTATTCACTATAGTACAATAATAGGAAATTCAGACCATGGTTATCTCAGGATTAATGGGGGAAAGACTCTTATCTTAGTCACACAGAGGGACAGTGATGGGAAATTCTGGTCCTGGTTGCACCTTAAAACAGTGAAAGGAAATCTTAACTGGGGTAATCCTGTGGGTCTGAGAGGGAATTCTAGCCCTACTCATATATAGGACCATGATGGAGAAATAATTGCCCTGTTTACTCCGGGGGACGGTGATGGGAGAATCCTAACCCTGGTCACTATTCAGTAGTGAGAGAGTCCCAGCACTTATCATTTCTTACAAGTGGTAGGGAAGACTTAACCCAGGACATTGTGGTACAGTGGTGGGGTTTCCAGTCAAGTCAACAAGCACTTGATGTCTTCTATGTGCCAGACACTGTGATAAGCACTAAGATTACAAACAAAGGCAAAAGGACAGCCCCTGATCTCAAGGAGCTTGGTCTAATGGAGACAACATGAAAACAATTATACAAACAAATGTATGCAAGATAAATTGGAGAAGGTACTCAAGGGGAATTTGGAAAAATCTCTTAGAAACTAGGATTTTTACCTGGGACTTAAAGGAAGCCAGAAGGCAGAGATGATAGGGGAGAGCATTCTATGCATGTGAGATAGCCAGCGAAAGATTCTCAGAAGTGGATCACAGTGAGTGAAGTGAATAAAGTATAAGGAGACACGAAAGCAGGGAGGGAGGTTATAAAGGGCTTTGAACGCTAGAGGATTTATCCTGGAGGTGATAGCCACTGGAATTTATTTAAGGCAACTGGGGTTAAGTGACATGCCTCGGGTCACACGGCTAGTAAATGTCAAGTGTTTGGTCTGAGGCCGAATTTGAACTCCTGACTTCAGGGCCGGTGCTCTCTATCCACTGTGCCACCTAGGTGCCCCGCCACTGGAATTTATTGAATAGGGGAGATAATATGGTCAGATTTGTGCCTTAGGAAGATCAGTTGGACACCCAAATGGAGGATGGACTGGAGAGGAGAGAGACAAGGCAGGTAGAACAACCAGAAGGCTTTTGTAGTAGGCCAGGTATGATGTGATGAAGACCTGCACCAGGGTCATGACTGTAAGAGGAGAGATGAGGGTATATAAGAAGAATGTTGCAAAGGTACAATTGGCCAGATTTGGCAACAAATGGGGGGTGGGGGGTGAAAGAGTAAAGAGTTGAGGATAATGCTTAGATTTTGAGCCTGGGTGACTGAGGTTGGTGGTGCTCTGGACAACAATAGGACAGTTAAGAAGAGAGAAGACTTATCTAGGGGACATCCAGTTGAGATATCCCAAAAGGCAGTTGGAGATTTGAGTCTAGAGGTTTAGAGAGATCAGAGCTGGATAAGTAGGTCTGAGAATCATCAGCATAGAGATGTTACTAGAAACTGTGACAGTGGATCACTAAGTGAAATTGTAGAGGGAAAAGAAAAAGGCCCAGAACAAACCTTTGGGGTACATCTATAGTTAGTGGGCATTACCTGAACCAAGATTTAGTAAAGGACTGAGGACATCCAGACAAGTAGGTGGAGAACCAGGAGAGAGAAGTGTTACAGAAACCTAGGGAAAAATGGAGAAAGATGATGGACAAGGTCAAAGACTCAAGAAATAGGGAATAATGAGGATTAAGAAAAGGCCATGAAATTTGGCAATTAAAAGATCATCGGTAACTTCAGAAAGGGTAGTTTCAGTTGAATGATGGTATTGGAAGCCAGAAGACAGAGTTTAGAGAAAGGAGGAAATGAAGGCACTTAGCGCCATCTCAAAAAGTATTTACTAAAGGGAGGAGAGATAATGGGATGACAAGGGAACTAGACATACCAACTGAGAGTGTTCAGTACAACAAACATTAAATTAATCACCTTTGTTGTGGAATAAAGACCACTCTGGTTGGCAGGTCCGATTGTTCAGTTTTTATTAGAAGGATCAGCAGTTGGGAGACAGATTCTACAAAACTTTTCAGTAGGCTTCAGTACTCTGCATATTTTCATGTTTCAGTTACATAACATGTTGGAGTAAGAGTGTATGGGAGGTCCAGACTTTCCTGAGTACCAAAATTGGGATATCTTGCTGTTGCTGAGGCAAAGGGAAAGAACAGCCTTTTGCTGAAGCTAGGACAGGCGCTTAAGGGTGGTTAGCTGTACTAGGAACTGTGAATGCAAAGAAAATAGTGAAGAAAAATTCCCTGCCCTCAGAGAGTGTACTTTGCATGCATTGCTATGTATTATATTGGTCTGTGGATACACTGTACGATAATAGTGTAATCCCGGACTTGGTCCCTTTGAGATGGTGCTAGGTGACTCCTGACTGGTCACTCTAGGAAAGTGAAAGAGAATATTGGCCCAGGATTGAAGGAAGTGGGGTGGGAGAGGAATCTTGATTCTAATGCAACTGTGGGACTTCAATGGACAATCCTATATCCTAGTTACTCTTTAGGACAGTAATGGAGAGCATTCTTCAGAAGAGAAGTGGCCTAGGCTACTGTGTGATTTAATGATGGGTAATACTGGTCCTGATCAATCTGTGTGACACTGATCTGGAAATCCTGGCTGGGATCACCACAGATAGCAATAATGAGGAAATTCAAGCTATGGTCAATCAACCTGCATTTAATAAGTACCTAGTATGTGATGCTAGATTCCTAGGAATGCATATACAGAAATTAAATAGTCCCTGTCCCTAAGTAGCTCATATTCTATTGGTCATTCCCTGGGACAGTGAAGAGGTAATTTGGACATTTGTCACTCCCTGAGACAATGAGAGAATCCAGATCATGGTCATTCTTTTGATGATAATGGTGGAGTACTGGTTCTGGGTCCCTTTGGGGCATCCTTCAGGAGGTAGAAAAAAAAATCTATTCATGTAGTTTAAGATGTTGGTTTCTTTGTCTTCAATGTCATACTGTTGGCTCATTCTAAGCTTAAAGTCCAATAAAGTGCCCAAATCTTTTTTCCCCCTGAAACTGTTTTCTAGCAACACATATACCCCAGTTCTCTGTATTTATATAGTTGATTTTTTTAAACCCAAGTTTAGAATGCTACATTTATCTTTACTAATTTTAATCTTACTAGATTCAACTCTTTGTTTTAATCAATCATTATCTCTTTAGATTTTTACTGTCATTAGATTACATTAAGTCTCCCATGACATTTGCAAACTTGTTAAGTATATATATTAAAATAGAGTCTTTCAGCTGAACAAATATTAAGCCCCTACTATTTAGTGAGGCAATATCCATGTCTGAATAAAATGTTAAGGAAACAGATCCTTGGGGTACTTCATTAGAAAGCCTCATCCAAGTTGCTAACAAGCTATTAATGATTACTCTTTAGATTCAATCATTCAACTAGATCCCAATATACTTTACTGTATTATCTGCCAGGATTCATCTTTCCATCTTGTTCAGAAAGATGGCATTAGAGATTTCACACTACTGAATTACACATTTACTCTGTAATAGGAGCAATACCTGTATTAGTACAGTCCCTGCCATGTAGTCTGGGCTAGCTTTTCCTGAGACCTTAGCCTTCGGCCTTGAGGCCACATGTGGCCCATTAGGCTCTCAAGTTCAGCCCTTTGACTGAATCCAAACTTCACCGAACAAATCCCCTTAATAAAAGGGATAATCGGGGCAGCTAGGTGGCGCAGTGGATAGAGCAGTGGCCCTGAAGTCAGGAGGACCTGAGTTCAAATCCAGCCTCAGACACACGATACTTACAAGCTGTGTGACTAGGCAAGTCACTTAACCCCAATTGCCTCACCAAAAAAAAAAAAGGATAATCTAAACCCTTCTTGCTTTTTTTCTCTTTAAGGACTTTATCCATTCTTTTAAGAACAAAACATTTTCCCTGATAACCTAGAAAATTATTTCACCTTTTCTGGGAGGAAAATCAACCTGCCCTTTGTATACACATAGTTGTCATTAGCAGACAAAATGATGGTGAATCCTAACCCTGGTGACAAAGAGGAAGTTGTTCCCTGCCTTAGTTACTCATAGATTTAATACAAACCCTGGCCAGGTCCTCCAATCTACATTTCTAACTATATGATTAAGAAACTATTCTCAGTAACATGAGGTAATTGGGGGGGGGGATAAAAACATTGAGTTTACAGTTTACAATTTACAATTAATTGAATTTGGATTCCATCTTAGATAAACTTAATTTAGATTAGACTTAGGTTCAAAAATCCCAGCTCTGTAATTTACTTTTTGTGTGACTTTTGACAAGTCAATTTCCTTCTCTGCGTCTCAGTTTCCTAATTTGTAATATGAAGAGGTTAGACTAGGAAGTTTCTAAATTCCCTTCCATCTCTACCTTCAGTCTTATTATGTCGAAGCCAACATAAACTACAAAGGTCCATCATTGTAACTACCCTTTCATCTTATGCAAATTTCAACCTTAGACTACCACTTCATCGATTTCTCATGAGATATCCCTCATGAGAAAACAACTGTTCAAATATCCTCAGATCAATGATGTAGCATGCTACTCATCTCCTGACAGAGATGATGGCCTCAGAATGCAGCTTGAGACATAAATAGCATGGCCAATGCAGGAATTTG